AGGATACCCTTGGGCTGCAGCGAGTTGCCCGAGCCATCGTTCACGAAGCTCACCTTCTTCTTACCCTTGTCGCGAGAAGCACTCCTCTTCGGCTGATATGGGACCACCTTCTCGCCGCAGTGCGCACACATGTTGTCGCTCCGCCGCAGCACGTCGTTGTACTCGCAGCGTAAGCAGCCTGCGCACCGCGTCCAAGCCCTGGATGCCGTAGCCATTGCTGAAATCCTCTGTTTTCGTCGGTGCTCAAACAATCCTGCTGAGGTGTTCGGGCGCGGTCCCCCAAGTGCCGCGTGAAGGCACAGAGGCACCTGAGCTCTCTGCCAAAATGGGTCGGGGCCCAGATGTTACTTGAGAGGAGGAGGAGGAGGAGGAGGAGGAGGAGGAGGAGGAGGAGGAGAGAGGAGGAGGGCGGGTTGCCTAAGCCCTTCGGAGAAGCCCTCCGCTTGCCCCCCGATCGCCGCGCACGGGTCCCGAGGACCTGCCGGCAGCCGCCCGGGGGAAGCGAGTGCGGCTGGAGAGGCCAGGGGGCCCGCGTGGCCTTCGCCGAGTGTGCCAGCGGAGGCCCGACCACAACGAGAATCTTCCACGAGAAACCCAACCCTGAGTCCCCAGGACGTCCGTGGATGATTGGTGTGGGAACGTCGGGCTTCCCGTGGCGCCCAGGGCCCTCATGGAGGCGAGCAGGGCGTTTCCTTGTGGCACGGGCCTCCACTGCAGTGGTGCACCCGGTGCGCACCGCCCGCGCGCGGCCCACGCTGTGAAGAAGCATGCGGCCCCGAAACCCCGCAGCTTCTCGTCCCTCCGCCCGTGCGCCTCCGTCCGAACGCTGCACGGAATGTGGATAAGACAATGCACTCTGGCAGCAGGCAAGCTTCCACGCGTGCCTGCACGCGTGCAGGCACGCATGGAAGCGTTTCTGCCAGCGCTTCGGCAGCGCTGCAGGGGAGCTTCCCAGAGCTCTCCAAGAACGATTTCCCGTCCCCAAAGGGTCTCTTTGCTCTCCGGGTTTTGAACGCTACCAAGTGGATAAGACAATGCACTCTGGCAGCAGGACAGCTTCTACAGCAGTGCCCCACTCTCGTGTGCTTTACTACTAAGGTTTATGTATGGTCCTCCGCCGTCTCGCCCACGTGCCGTAGCAACTGGAGCCGAATAGATTGTCTCCCATGATGTATCGGATGCCTGGCGTGCAGGGACCTGGCGCAAAGAACCAACACAGGACCACCATGTCTTGTCGTCATATTGCTGCGCCTCTGCTTGAGCATGCACTGACGTGTCTCTATTAAGAGAATGCTAACCCTGCGAGCAACAACAACAACAACAATGATTGCCCACAACTGTGGCGCCCGAACCGATGCAATGTTAGGGGAACCCATCCCTCCCTGTTTGGCGTCCTGAGTCCCGACGTTTACCCTGACCAGCCTGCGGTTGAACAAGGTGCACAATCCGAAACAAACTCCTCCACCCTACTCCTCCTCCTCCTCCTCCTCCTCCTCCTCATCCTCCTCATCCTCCTCCTCCTTCCTCCTCCTCCTCCTCCTCCTCCTCCTCCTCCTCCTCCTCCTCCTCCTCCTCCTCCTCCTCCTCCTCCTCCTCCTCCTCCTCCTCCTCCTCCTCCTCCTCTCCTCCTCCTCCTCCTCCTCCTCCTCCTCCTCCTCCTCCCTCCTCCGCCTCCTCCTCCTCCTCCTCCTCCTCCTCCTCCTCCTCCTCCTCCTCCTCCTCCTCCTCCTCCTCCTCCTCCTCCTCCTCCTCCTCCTCCTCCTCCTCCTCCTCCTCCTCCTCCTCCTCTCCTCCTCCTCCCTCCTCCTCCTCCTCCTCCTCCTCCTCCTCCTCCTCCTCCTCCTCCTCCTCCTCCTTCCTCCTCCTCCTCCTCCTCCTCCTCCCTCCTCCTCCTCCTCCCCTCCTCCTCCTCCTCCTCCTCCTCCTCCTCCTCCTCCTCCTCTCCTCCTCCTCCTCCTCCTCCTCCTCCTCCTCCTCCTCCTCCTCCTCCTCCTCCTCCATCCTCCTCGTTGTCCTCCTCCTCCTCCTTTCCATCCTCCTCGTTGTCCTCCTCCTCCTCTTCTTCCTCCTCCTCGTCCTTTTCCTCCTCCTCCTCCTCATCCCTCCTCCTCATCTTCATCCCCCCTCTTACTCATCCTCCTCTCCTCCTCCTCCTCCTCCTCGTCATCCTCCTCCTCCTGCCTCCTCCTCCTTCCCCTCCCCTGCGTCCTCATACTTCCTCCTTGCGGTTCACATCCCCCGCTCTCCTCCTTCTTTTCCTCCTCCTCCTCATCCTCATCCTCTTTCTTCTCCTCCTCCTCCTCCTCCTCCTCCTCCTCCTCCATTCTTTTCATTACGGATGACTCCTCCCTGTCTCACCCTGAGGCCGGTCGAAGAGGCGGGCCGGGCGTTTCGCCGGAGACTTCCGCAACACTTGTGACCCTGATGCTTAAAAATTGGCGACCACTTCGCAAAAATCCTCCAACTGTGAATGTGGCTCTCGCCAGAGCGCAGCGCACATTCCTTTCAACAAATTGCAAGAGTTTCACGAATGCGGGCCGGGTCGTTTCCAAAATGTGGCTCTTGCCCTCGCGCCGCGCACAGTCGTTCTAAAATTTGCAAGAGGTTCACGGATTGAGGGCGGCTCGTTTTCAAAATGTTGGTCTCGCCTTGGCGCCGCGCACATTTGTTTGCAAGAGCGTCACGGATTCAGAGCGGCCCGTTTTCAAACTGTTGCTCTCGCCGTAGCGCCGCGATCATTCGTGTCAGAAATTTGAAAGGGTTTCACGGATTGAGGGCGAGTCATTTTCGAAACGCGGCTCTCTCCTCGGCGCCGCGCACATTCGTTCCAAACAGTTGCAAGATATTCACTGGTTCTCACTGCCAACGTACCAGAAATAATGTTTTGGAGCGATTCAAAATTGCCAAGGCGCAACATGTACAATGATCCGCGGTGTCGAAGTCCCAGGAATGATGTTCTGGCGCGATTCCGGATCGCCAAGACGTAACAGTGACGCTATCTCGCTGAGAATAATGTTCTGGAACGCTTCAACATGTTCACACAGCTGTCCCCCGACGGGGCAACTCCCAGTGGAAATGAACCCTTGTAGAGGCCTATGACGAGGGATCTTGGAGTACATCAACATCGTTGATGAATATTGGGTTTACAGTGGTCCTCTCCCTCGTCCTCTTTAAACTTATACACCCCCTCCTCCAACTCATTTCCCTAGTCCGAGGAGCGGCGTGAAAGATGGGAGTAGAAGTAGGAGGAGGAGAACATGGGAGGAAAAGGCGGAGGAGGTAGGAGTGGGAGGTTGAAGAAGGAGGAGTAGGAGGAGGAGGAGGAGGAGGAGGGGGATGAGGAGGGGAAAGATGACGAGGATAAGGAGGAAAAGGCAAGAGGGTGCGGAAACAGGAGGAGGAAGAAGAAGAAGAAGAAGACGAGAAGGAGGAGGAGGAGGAGGAGGAGGAGGAGGAGGAGACAGAGGAGGAGGAGGAGGAGGAGGAGGAGGAGAAAACGATCAGGACAAGGAGAAGGGCGAAGAGGAAGGGGAGGAGGGGGGTAGGAGGATGCCAGGTTTAACCTTGCTCTGGCGGGCATCTCCCCTGATGCACAAGGATCCTGTGGCAGAGCCGGGCCCTGGCCGTAAGGATCTCCCGGTCGCCCGGGGAAACTCATCCGGCTCTTCGGCGGCAGCCCTCGAGAGAGACGCCACAGCACGCTCAGCCCCGCCCTGGTCGGGGGCCGAGGCGGGGTCGTGGTGGAGGGGCAGACCTCTGCGAGCAGCTGGGCAGTGTCTACGCAGCACCGCCACCGCGCTCTGCAGTACAACGCCGCCGGTACAAGCGAGGTCTCGAGAGGAGGGAGCCCCAGAGTGCCCGACGAGAGCGGGCCGCGCAGAGGGCCGCCCGCTCTCGGTGGCGGTGTCCCGGCACACTTCCCAGGGCTGGACTCGACGAGCTGGGTTTGGGGCTTCGGGACCTCGGTTTTGCAGGCTGGGCTCCTGGATCTGGGATCCTGGCTCCTGCAGGCCTGAAGCCTGCGCCCCGCGCAGCTGGCAGCGAGGCAGGCCCTGCACTGGCACTGGCGCGTGGCCCGCCGCAGGCGGCCTCCGCCGACGGGCAGCGCCGGCCGGACGTGCCCTGGGGCGAGAAGCCCGCCCACCAGCACGGTCGGCCCAGTGGCGAGGACACGCGGGCGCCACCTCTGCTGACGTCCAGCCGGCGGCGCAAGACAGGTGAGGTCGGATCGTGAATTTCGGCAACGAGCGGAGCAGAATCGGGACTTGCCGCCTCCCCTTTGGCAGAGGCCGCGCCAACGAAATGCTCAGCACCGGGATACAAGGAATGCTCGGCCTCACTGAGGCCCCACGCAGCACACATGAACGAGGTGGCGCGGGCCGTCGTCCAGATCAGCTCGACCTTCCCCGATCGGTCGTCGAGGCGATCCCAGATCAAGCTCCACAGGTCCACAGGCCCTTCATCGGCGAACACGTCACGATAAAAGCTCCGAGGGCGCATAATGCCACGCGCAAGGAGGGAGGTACTCCGAGTATGCCTCCACGTCGCCAGAGCTGTGAGCCAATAGCATCAAGAAGGCGAAGAGCTCCGCCCTCGGACTACTCTGCTGCTCGGTAGGCAGCGTGCGACACATAACCCCATCGAAGTGATACTCACCCGGAACGCTGTCTCAATCAAGTCTAACTGCAGCCCAAGGATACCGCCGAAGAATCCAAACCTTCGTGATTACATGTTCCACTAGCGACGTCCAGAACACACGTGCATGAAGAGGAGGAGGAGGAGGAGGGCAAGGTGCACGGAGAGGAGGAGATGAAGGAAGGGGAGGGGGAGGCAGGAGGAGGAGGACGAGGAGGAGGAGGAAAAGGAGGAAGAGCAGGAGAGAGGAGGGAGAAGCAATGAGGAGGAGGGAGGAGGAGGGAGGAGGGAGGAGGAGGGAGGAGGGAGGAGGGAGGAGGGAGGAGGGAGGAGTTAGGCGGACGAGGAGGGAGACCCTCAGGCGCCTCCGCGGCGTGCCGGGCCGGCTCCTCCGCCCCCGCGTGGTGCGGATGCCCGCGCACGGCCTCCGCGCAGCGGGTCACCTCCGGAGGGGCGCGTCTGTCAGCGCGCGGCGTCGTCGTCGTCGTCGTCGTCGTCGTCGTCGTCGTCGTCGTCGTCGGCGGCGGCGGCGGCGGCGGCGGCGGCGGCGTCGGCGGCGGCGTCGGCGTCGGCGTCGGCGTCGGCGTCGGCGTCGGCGTCGGCGTCGGCGAGCGGCGAATCGTCCGAGTCTGAGGCCCCAAAAAGATCCAACGGAGTGAAAAAAAATATGTTGTTTCGCCCATGTCGGCCTCTGGAGGCCCTCAGCGGGCCCCAGGACTGTCAAAAAGCGGTTCGCGATGAAAAACCAGCCCCAGGGAAAGAGTCGGGACTTCCAGTGATCCCGTGGCCAAAAAAAATCAGGACATCGCATGTCTGGGAAGCTGGGAAGACAGCTCCCGGGAGGTCTTCGCAAGAAAGATGAAGGCCTGGGGCGTCCACGAGGGGGGCGTCCGAGAGAGGGGTGTGCAAGTCATGGCCCGAAGCACATGTGTCTAGGGAGTGATCAGGGGACAGACTGGAAGAAGAGGGGAGGCACGCCAAATCTGGGGAGATACCATGGCCCCAGCCCAAATATCCACTGACCTATAGGGGAACAAACGCTATGCACCGACGCTTTTTTTGGCCCTGCACAGGCCCTTGCACAGGAAAGCGGATCCTGGTCTATACGGGACCCTGGTGCATTCATGTTCCGTTGCTTCCCCGGGAAAATGGAGAAAAAAGTATATACACACACAAACCCGACGGCGTCCCCGATCCTCACAGGAATCTGAGGATTGAAAAACAGCCAGCCACCGGTAATGCATATGATCCAGCTTCCGACAGACATCCACCCAACCCTCTAATCTTATGTCGGGCCTGTGCCCCTACAAGGGGATTTTCGACGAAAAATAAAACATACCCCAAAAATACCCAAAAAGGTTTATTTATATATATATATACATCTATATATATATATATATATATATAAAAAAACAACTATTGTTGGACTATGTTTGGACTATTTTGGGGGTATTTCTTATTTTTCGTCGAAAATCCCCCTGTAGGGGGACACGCCCGACATAACCCTAATCATCAACCCCCACTCTCGGTCGCCCCCCCCGAGCGGGGGACTTACGCACGAGCAGCCAGGACTCCGCCGGAGCAGGCGGGAGCACGCCTCCCAACAAGGCTGAACCTACACGGTGTTTTTCGTTTTCGTTTTGTTTTCCGTTTTCCCTCGCTTTTGTCTCGAATCCGCCTTTACCGCACAACGAAGCCGAAACGACAACGGCCCACGAAATCACCAAAAACACCGTTTAGCTCCAGCCCTGCCTCCCAAGAGTTGCATCCCAACGGGTCGTCGTCGGGCGTCGCTGGAGAAACGGGAGGTAGGCGAGGGACCCTGGACACCCTCGCGCAGGGGACAAGCATCACGACGGAGGGTGCCAGGCCGTTTGGGGCCTCTCCACGGGCCCTCGCTGGGCCCTGGGACTCTCAAGACACGACTCGGGATACAAGGCAGGCCCCCAGGAAGGGTCCCAAACCTCCGAGGAGCCAAGCTGCGGACAAGATCAGGAGGGTCGGCGGCAGAGGCGGCAGCCTTTTGCATGTTTCGGAGGTCCGTGCGCATCCTCCTCCTGCTCCTCCTCCTCCTCCTCCTCCTCCTCCTCCTCCTCCTCCTCCTCATCATCATCATCCTCATCCTCCTCCTCCTTCTCCTCCTCCTCCACCGCGTCCTCCGACGCCTCCTCCTCCTCCTCCTCCTCCTCCTCCGCCTTTTCCTCCTCGTCTTCAAGGTCGGGGGCACAGGCCGCGGAGCCTTCACAATGACGAGGCTCGGCGGCAGAGGCGGCAGCCTTGAAGTGCTTCGGAGGCCCGTGCGTGTTTCGTGGATCGGCGCTGGACCCCCCTCCCTGGCGCCCCAGCGCCGATCCGAGAAATCCGCGCGGAGTTCCGAAAGGTTGTGAGCAGGCCGTGTTCTGAATCCACGAGCTGGGAGAGGATCGAAAGCGAAAGCTGGGGGCACCTTTGGGTCAGTGGCACCTTGAGGAAACCCCGAGGAGGAGGAGGAGGAGGAGGAGGAGGAGGAGTTCTGAAAGGTTGTGCGTATGCCGCGTTCTAATCCACGAGCTGGGAGAGGATCGAAAGCGGAAGCTGGGGACACCTTTGGGCCAGGGGCACCTTGAGCAGACCCCGAGGAGGAGGAGGAGGAGGAGGAGGAGGAGGAGGAGAAGAAGGAGGAGGAGGAGGATGAGGAGGAGGAGGAGGAGGAGGGGGAGGAGGAGGAGGATGAGGAGGAGGAGGAGGAGGAGGAGGAAGGGCCAGAGGAGGAGGGGCCAGGAGGAATGGGAGGAGGTAAGGAGGCGTAGGCAAGGAGGAGTACGAGGAGGCAAGGAGGAGAGGCGAGAGGAGAAGTGGCAAGGAGAAGCAGGAGGAGGCAGGGAGGAGGAAGGCCAGGAGGAGGAGGAGGAGGAGACGAAGGTGGAGGAGGAGGAAGAGGCCAGAAGGAGGAGGCAAGGAGGCAAGGAGGGGGCAGCCAGGAGCTGAGGCAGCCTCCGCCACGTGGTACTGCACGTGGTTCGGCCTGAGTCGCCGGTTGTCCCTCCGGTGGTGCTTGATCTGTTGACGGGCGGCCGCGACCACGAGGACGGCAGGCAGAGGAGCAAAGGGCATCAGGTACAAACTTTCGGAAAGGTCCGCGCTGGACTGCTCGGATCGGCGCTGGACCCCCCCCCTCCCCAAACCTCCTCCTCCTCCTCCTCCTCCAGCGCCGCCGCCCTACCGCTGCTTTCAGGACCCTGGGCGGACCCCCAAAGATTTCGGTGGCCCTCTGGCTCTGTCAGCCTGCTGCGTCGAAGGCGCTTGCTGAGGGCTTGGCGTGGGCCTGGCAAGCTGCGCCCGCCCCCCTGGCGCGCAGAGGGCGCCAGGGGGGCGCTAAAAAGGCGCCGCCAGGGGGGCCCTGCGCCGATCCAAGGAATCCGCGCAGGCCTCTGAAAGTTTAGGCGCATGCTGCGTCTTCTGAAGGGGCCCTGGGACACACAAATGAAAACACACAAATAACAATATTCCCCATATTGTCATATATTTTCTGGGCTTCTGTCTTCCCCCCCACTTCCCATAGTTTCCCATATTTTCTGGGGAATCGAGGATAAATTGTGTCTGTGTGTTTCTTTCCCTCCTGAGCTGCGTCTTCCTCGAGATCTGGGGGGAGGGGAGGCAAGGGGTCAAGGGGCAAGCGTGCGCGTCCCCGAGGCTGCCCGACGCACAGGCGCGCAGCTGTAAGCTAGGCTGGGCAGCCTGGCTCGGCTGAAGGAGAAGGGCGCAGACGACGCCCGAAAACGCTCGAGTCGGAACACATGGAGGGGGAAGCAGGACGAGAGGGTCGGGGAGGTTGCGCACTCGACGATTCGAAGAAGAAACAACGGCATAAACATAAGCCTCATGCGCTCCGCGCGGATTTCTTGGATCCGAGCTGGACCCCACTCCCTGGCGCGCAGAGCGCGCCAGGGGGGCTGCCGCCGGAGCGGGAGCGGGAGTGGGGTCAGTCGGAGAGCATGAGACCTCGATGTCACGCCGGGTCGGACGGCTTTCTAGCACGCAGGAGGACAGGCCAGGACTGCACGCCCCCTCCTTTGGGAGGCGCACGTCCGAGCCGAGCATGCAGTACGAACACATCAGAGCAGACTGTTACTCGGGTGGTATGGCCAGAAAGCGCCCCCCACCGAGCATGCCTACACAAGAAGAGTTCGGAGCGCGCGCGTCGCCGCTGGGGTGCCGACGCACACGCCGTGCGAGCGTGTCTGCGTGACGCCGAGAGACCGCATCCGCGAGGCGCTGCTGAAGAAGCAGGCGTTTGCAGACAGAGCGCCTGGGCACACATGAGGGGCAACCACAGGGGGAGGACGAGGAGGGAGAGGAGGAGGAGGAGGAGGAGGAGGAGGAGGAGAAGGAGGAGGAAGAGGAGGACGAGGAGGAGGAGGTGGGGGGGATTGGCTCGGGGGGGGGAAGCATCAAGCCGGAATCGGCGATGCGTCGCCAATAGATCGACGGTAGGCCCCCGATAGTGGATCCGCACCGGCCTGGGCGGGGTGGCCTATCAGGCCCCATATTGGCGATCAATGGTCCGTTGGGGACCGATGCATCCCGCCCCCCCCCCCCCCCCTGAGCCTAACCCCCCCAGCGTTACCACTCAACATAACACGCACAAGAGGGAAAGACGAGGCGCGCGTCCCTAATACTCTGTCCCTCCGCGAGGCAGAGTGGGCGGCTGAGGGAGGAGGGGCGGCAAAAGTCACGGCCGACAGCTTTCGGTCGTGTTCGGCCTTCTGGGGGCCCTCACAAGGCCCTTTGGCCGTCCAAAAAAAATGGCTCGAGAAGAAAAGATGTTCCCCAGAAAGGAGTGAAGTGGCCCGGAGCCTTGGGAAGCCACGGTGGGGCAAGAACACGACGTCGGATGTCCGGGGAGGCGCAGAGACATGAAACTAGGCATGGCACATTTGCGCCCCCCACACACACACACACACACACACACACACACACAAACACAAACACACACACGCGTAGAACACAATCTCCCTCATCCGCTTATACATATATATATACACACGATGAACAACAAGGCGCAGAAGGGGAAAGAGAGAGAGAGAGGAGAACGAGATAACAAAACATAGAGGGAGGATCAGGAAAGACATATATCGGCTAGGGGCGACGCCTCTCCTTCCGCCCCGTGTTCTGCACTTCACTGGAGTTGTGACAAACAATGCATCGTGTGGTGATACATGCAAGCCAATACTGAGCTCCCAACTCTGGCGACATTGATAACCCACGTCTTGGACGTCCTTCTCCCTGCGCCACAACCTAATTGCTGCCGCGTGTGCGGCACGTAGGCAGAGCAAACGCACAAATGATGCATCAGAAGCAAAAGGGAGACCAGGAGCGGCAGCATGAGCAGGCGCAAGAAGAGCCCACAGCAGCACGAGGCGCAGCAATCGAGGAAGCAGGTGGGCAGGAATGGCGGCAGAGAACCTCAGCACCCTCTCTGCCTCAGGACCCCGACCTCTGTAGTTCGTGCCTCGCGTGTTTGCTGTATGACTGCCTTACTTCTAGATGTCTGGTCAAGACGTATGTCTTGTTGTGAAGAAGATCGGGAGCGGCCAAGAGGGGGGTGTCAAAGAGGGGGGGATGCAAATCATGACCGGCGGCACGTGCGCGGCCCAGGGGGGGGGGCCAGGGACGTAAAGAAACAGGAAGAGGCGCCATGAAATCTGGGAAATATCATGGCCAACGCCATGATATCCACCCCCCCCTAGTCATCACCCCCCTCTTTTCCGCCCCCGATTGTTGTGAAGAAGAGAAGGCGCCCGCCTCCGCCACGGGGTCCTCCGGGACCACCATCCGGTCCGTCGCCTGCTGCGCGGCCAGCATCTCGGCCTCGGCCTGCGCCGGGTCTCGAGGGAGAGACGCCTGCAGAGGCCTCCCAGAGGGGGTCCGAGCAGAGGGGGGTGGAAGAACGCGCCGCATCAGCGATGCATCTGCGGTGCATCAGCTACCCCAGATTTCGTAATAAAAGGGAGGGGGTCTAGACCCTCCAAGACAAGCCATTTCAGACCTCCCCCGTGGGAGAACCCTCCAAAACATCGTCCCCAGACCCCCCAGGCCCTCCAAGATAGCCTGGAAGACCCCCCCCGAAATGAGACCCCCCCTCCCTTTCTTACGAAATCTGGAGTATCCCATCCACTTGGACCCCAATGGAAAGGCCTAGGGTGTGGTCGAGAGGGAAAGCACACGGGAAAAAAAACGTGGAGCGAGCGGCAGGCAACAACAACAGCAACAACAACAACAACAGCAGCAGCAGCAGCAACAACAACAACAACAACAACAGCAACAACAACCACAACAACACCAACACCAAGAACAACAACAACAACAACAACAACAACGACGACGACGACGACGACAACAACAATCATGTCAAGACTGTTCACTCTTACTGGCACGCGTGTCTTCCATTCCGTATACCCCAACCCTCGATACCCGCCCACTTCGTCTTCGATTGCACCCCCTTTCGGGGGGAATCTCTTCCTTGTCGGCCACTGACTGAAGTGCGAAGAAGTCTCGAGCGAGAGCGCCGTTCCTGAATTCGGGGGCCTCTGTGGTCAGGGGCTCTCGGAAGACCTATCGAGAAAATCAAGCGGGAGCCCTTGTCGCCGTGTCCGGGCCTCCACCAACTTGCTTGAATTACGGTAAAGTTTCGAGCGAAAGCGCCGCTACTGAGCTCGGGCGCCTGCTTGGCCAGGGGCTCTCGGAATAAATCGTGAAAAAGTATCGAGCAGGAGCCCTTGTCGTCGTGGCTGGGCCTCCGCCAACTTCATTGAATTGCGAGGAAGTCTCGAGCGAGAGCGCCGTTCCTGAGTTCGGGGGCCTCTCTGGCCAGGGTGTCTCGGGGTAAATTGTAAGGAGGAACTATCGAGCGGGAGCCGTTGTTGTCGTAGCTGGGCCTCCAGGGGCATTTAGGCTCAAGCCAACGCTCGAGCGGGAGCCTCGTTTTCAACGAAAATATAGCCTGCATCGAGGCGAGAGCGCGCGGAACCGTTTCCGGAGATCAACCATAATTACTTTAGAACTGAATATTCAACAACAAGAACAACAACAACAACAACAACAACAACAACCATTTTAAAGCTGTACGCTCTTACTTGCCCGCGAGTCATTCAACACGTATACCCTACACCCTCGAAGCCCACCCTCTTCGTCTTCGATCACACCCCTTTCGGGGGGATTATTTCTCTTTGCTGGGGCCGGCGGGCTTAGACGTACGGGCAAACCGGAACGGGCGGACAATCCTTCAGGGGCGTACATCTCTCTGCCCGCCATTGGAATTGGCGCGGGCCCTGCAAGAGGAGGAGGGGAAGAACGAGGGAGAGTGGGAGGAAGGGGAGGGGGAAGGACGAAGGAAGAGGGAAGATACCACGTTGTGAAGGCGTCCTTGGCGCGCGCGTGGTTCCTGAGCGCCGAAACGCAATTCCATAATAATTTGTGAGGACGTCGCACGCGAGAGCGCAGTCCTGAGTACATTGTAAGGAAATCTCGGGCGGGAGCGGGGGCCCTGACTAAGTTGCGAGGAAGTCTCAAGCGGGAGCGCCGTTCCTGAGCAAATTGCACGGAAGTCTCAGGCGGGAGCGGGGGTCCTCACTAAATTGCGAAGAAAGTCTCAGGCGGGAGCGCCGTTCCTGAGTCAATTGCGCCGAAATGTCAGGCAGGAGCGGGGGTCCTGAGTAAAATTCGAAGAAGTCTCAAGCGGGAGCGCCGTTCCCACGTAAATCGCACGGAAGTCTCAGCGGGAGCGGGGGTCTTGATTACATTGCGAGGAAGTCTCAGACGGGAGCGCCTTTCCTGAGTAAATTGCGCGGAAGTCTAAGGCGGGAGCGGGGGTCCTGAGTAAAAATCGAGGAAGTCTCAGGCGGGAGCCGTTGTTGTTGTAGCCCGGGGGGCATGGGCACAATTTGAACAGGAAGACTTTCCTTAAGAAAAAACAAGGTGCGAGCCCCGGGGGTGGCACTTCAATCGAAAAAATCAATGTGCACCGGCGGGGGGGATCAACAATATTTATTCTGTAAGAATGAGAATTCAACAACAACAACAACAACAACAACAACAACAACAACAACAACAACAACAACACCAACAATCATTTAAGACTGGGGACACTCCGTTCTCACCAGTGCCAGGGTTTTCATAGGAGGCGGGCAATACCCCCCCACTTTGTGGGGGGGCCGGTTCAAGCTCTACCAAATTTCCAAACGACTCTTCGCCACCACCCACACCCAGCTTCCCGCCCTATGACGTTCGGACACTTCACTTCGTGGCCTGCGGACGACCTTGGCTACTACACTGGCGCATGGGTACAATGACTTGTTGTGGTAACATTTTGTGGAAGCTAGCTTAGTATACGACTTATCCCCCTGTTCCAACACTGGGCACCTGTACCGTTTTCCGACGTTTTTCCGTTTCTGTACCACACAAGCAAAGATTATTTTGAGTGGTACCACGTGCGTGGCGCCAGCATACCACAGGACTTGTTTCCGTTGTTGCTATATGCTCATTCTTGTTCTGTGGTTGTCGTTCCGGCCTCAATGTGCAATACTGGCTCATTCGTCTACGAAATACACGTGGCTACCTCTCTCTGGTGGGAGGTCCTGATGGTTGTGGTTGTCCCGATGATTGTCGCGATGATTGTCCCGATGATTGTCCCGATTGTTGTTCCGATGGTTCTCCCGATGGTTGTCCCGATGGTTGTCCCGATCGTTGTCCCGATGGTTGTCCCGATGGTTGTCCCGATGGTTGTCCTGATGGTTGTGGTTGTCCCGATCGTTGTCCCGATGGTTGTCCCCAAGGGACACAGCGCCTGATGCAAATAATACGGGCTGCCGCAGTCGGCCAAAGGAGGCCGCGACAGCTCTGGGCCATACTGCTCGTCAACGGCTTTCGCCGACAAAGCCATGACCCATCCAAGAACACAGGCGATACCTTGATCCGAGATGGCTACGGATGTGACAGTGATCAGTGATTTTGTTCGATGACGTGGTGACACACGGACTTGTTGTGGTAACATGCCGACGACGATTTTCGAGGTCCCACGGTGCGATTCGTATGATTTTATGTTGCGCGGTGCTAAAATTCCTACGAAACCCAATGGTTTTTGAAGATTTCGGCGTGCGCGCGCAAAGAAAAAACGAATGTGTCCCGCATGGTATCATTTGACAGGGATGATGACCCTGGCAGGTGCGCAACGGTTGTTGGAGAAGTTCGAAGCACGTGAACAAGTTGCTCGGAAAAGCCCATTTGACAGAAATGTTTAAAAAGTGTTGGGTTTCCGACAAATCCGCAAGAGCGCGCGGGATGACATTTTGACACTTTTGTTTTTGAAAAACCATCCGTTTTTTTTATGTTTTTATGTTGAAATCGCTACGAACACTAAGGTTTTGGAAGGATTTCGTCTTGCGCGCGCGAATGACCACTTTACCTTATTTGTTGCAAGGGATTCTTGAAGTTTGGTTATGTTAGAACAAGAAATGTCCACTGTAGCTTATTTTTTGCAAGGGAAAACGGGGGACAACAAAACAACCGGATCTGGACCACATCGTTTTGCCTGAGACGTCCTCACGAAAATGATGAAAATGCGGCTGCGGCCTAGGCGCGGCGAGGGGGCCGCGCACCAGGGGCCCCAACAATAATTATTCTTTAGAATAAATAATGTTCAACAACAACAGCAACAACAACAACAACAATAATAATAATAATGTTAAGACCGTTCGCCGTTATATGCTCGAGTGTCCAATAACGCAAATTTCCCAAACCCTCGATACCCGCCCTCTTCGTCTTCGATCGAGCCCCTTTTGGGGGTATACCTTTCTTCCCTGCAGGCCGGGCCCCGGCAAGCGGCGGGGCGGCCGCGGACCGTCGGCCTGGCCAGCGGCAGCGCTGATCGGCGGGGCGGCCGCGGACCGTCGACCCGACCCCAAGAGGGACGGACAGGGGACCGACCACGACGACGACGACGACGACGACGACGACGACGACGACGACGGACGACGTCGAAGACGACGGCGACGACGACGACGGACGACGACGAGCGAAAGCGAGAGCGAGAGAGAAACGACAGCAGGGCCACGAAGGGCACGAAGTAGGCCACGAAGGGCGACAGCGGGGACACGAAGGGAAATTGCGTATGTGGGCCAAGACCACGAAGAGCGCGAACGAGCGGGGGCCACGGAGTGCAGATAATTTGCGGGGCCACAGAAGGCAACTATGGGGCCACTGAGGGTAGCAACTGGGCCACGTAGGACAGTGAGGGGGACACAAATGGCGACAGCGGGGCCACGAAGGGCATGCACATGGGGCCACAACGGGCGCGACTCCTGAGTGCCTGGGTGTCGGGAGCGCGGCGCTTGGGCAAATTGCCGGGAATTCCAACGCAAGGTGATTCTTCAGTAAGTTGCAAGCAAGTCTCCAGCGGGAGCGCGACTCCAGAGCGCCGGGAGAGCGATTCCTGAATAAATCCCACCAGCCCTTTGGGCGTGAGTGGTTTAGGGAGCCCTCTCTGTCCTCAACCCCCCTTCTTCCCCTTCGGGGAGGGGTTTACCCCTCCCCCTACCCCCTCCCCCTGGACCTGGAGAGGGCGCCCCGCGGGTGGTCAGGGGGGTCCTTTTCGACGCCTGGGAGGGCCAAAAACGACGACCCTCACGAGGATTCTCGCCCCGACGGGGGGATAGAGAAAAAACCCTCTCCTCTTCTGTGACGCCAAATTCATTGATTTTACTACGGTGTTGGCCCCATTTTGGCCTTCTGAGGGGGCAGCGCTCCTCTTCCTTGTTCTCAGAATCATTGATTTTACAAAGGTTTTGGGCTCATTTTGTCTTTCTCAGGGGGTAGCGCTCATTTGCGCTTCTGAGGAGGTCGCAAGAGGCCCCAAGATGGCGCCTTGATGACCCCAGGAGGCTCCCAAGCGGCCTCCAAGAGGCCCCCAAGAGGCCCCCAAGAGGCCCCCAGAGGCCCCCAACAGGCTCCCAAGAGGCCCCCACGAGGCCCCCAGAGCCCCCAAGAGGCCCCCAAGAGGCCCCCAAGAGGTCCCCAAGAGGCCCCCAAGAGGCCCCCAAGAGGCCCCAAGAGGCCCCAAGAGGCCCCCAAGTGGCCCCACGAGGAGCCCGAACGACTCACACCAGGGCGAGGGGCCCGAACGACTCACACCACGAAGAGCCCGAACGACTCACACCACAAGGAGGTTCCCGAACGACTTACACCAGGACGAAGGGCCCGAACGACTCACACCACGAGGAGCCCGAACGACTCACACCACGACGCGGGCCTCGAACGACTCACACCACGAGGAGCCCGAACGAGTCACACCAGGAGGAGGGGCAGCGCTCATACAAGCCACCACGAGGAGCCCGAACGACTCACACCACGACGAGGGCCCCGAACGACTCACACCACGAGGAGCCCGAACGAGTCACACCAGGAGGAGGGGCCCGAACGACTCACACCAGGACGAGGGGCCCGAACAACTCACACCACGAGAAGCCCGAACGACTCACACCAGGACGAAGAGCCCGAACGACTCACACCACGAAAAGCCCGAACGACTCACACCAGGAAGCAGGGCCCGAACGACTCACACCAGGACGAGAAACCACAAACGACTCAAACCACGAGGCGCGCTTTCTCTCCCTGCTCCGCCTCGTCCTTCTCCCGCTCCCCCCACAAGGAGGATGTACAAGGAGGCGGGAGGAAGGAGGAACAGGGGAGATATGCGGGGGCAGGCGGCAACACGCCTGAAAAACACGACTGTCGGTATGCTTCGCTAGAGTTGCTATTTTGAGATGGGCTGGTGGGGATACGCGAAGCGTAGAGAATTGTTAGGAAGTCCCACGCGAGAGCGCGATTCCTGAATAAAATGCGAAGAATTCTCGGGCGGGAGCGGGGGTCCTGGCTAAATTGCGAAGAAGTCTCAGGCGGGAGCCGTTGTTGTTGTAAGCCGGGGGCCTGGGGGCTAGTTTGAGCAGGAAGACTCTCCCTGTCCAAAAACAGGGTGCGAGCGGCGAGGGGCACACTTTGATTGAGAAAAAACAGCATGCACCGGTGAGGGGGGATCAACAATAAGTATTCTTCAGAAATGAGAATTCAACAACAGCAACAACAACAGCAACAACAACAACAACAATAATAACAATTACTAGCACGTGGGGACACACCGTTCTCACCAGTGCCAGGGTTTTCATAGGAGGCGGGCAATACCCCCACTTTGTGGGGGGGCCGGTTCAAGCTCTACCAAATTTCCAAACGACTCTTCGCCACCACCCACACCCAGCTTCCCGCCCTATGACGTTCGGACACTTCACTTCGTGGCATGCGGACGACCGTGGCTACTATTCAGGGCCCCGCGGCCGACGACGACGGCGTGCGCGCGCGAAGAAAAAACGAATGTGTCCCGCATGGTATTATTTGACAGGGATGATGGCCCTGGCAGGTGCGCAACCGTTGTTGCAGAAGTTCGAAAAAGTTGCTCGCAAAAGCCCGTTTGACAGAAATGTTTAAAAAGTGTTGGGTTTCCTACGAATCCGCAAGAGCGCGCGGGATGAGATTTTGACAATTTTTTGTTGAAAAACCATTGGTTTTTTGATGTTTTTATGTTAAAATCGCTCCGAACACTAAGCTTTTGGAAGGATTTCGTCTTGCGCGCGCGAATGTCCACTTTACCTTATTTTTTGCAAGGGATTCTTGAAGTTTGGTTATGTTAGAACAAGAAATGTCCACTTTAGCTTATTTTTTGCAAGGGAAAACCGATCGTAACAACACAACCGGATCCGGACCAACCCGTTTTGCCTGAGACTTCCTCACGAAAATGATGAAAATGAGGCTGCGGCCTAGGCGCGGCGGGGGGGCCATGCACCAGGGGTCCCAACAATAATTATTCTTTAGAAATAATAATGTTCAACCACAACCACAACCACAACCACAACCACGACAACAACAACAAGAACAACAACAACAACAACAACAACAACAACAACATCAACAACAACAACAACAACCACAACAACAACAAAAACAAAAACAATAACAAAAACAACAAAACAACATCAATAATAACAGCAACAACAATAGCAACAACAACAACAACAACAACAACAACAACAACAACAACGACAACAACACATGCAAAAACCGCAAACTCTTAGATCCGGGCGTTGCAATCGTCTCACTTTGGGCGTTTTGGACCAATCTCCAGCCTAGGAACATCAAATATCGACCCGGGTTGGAAAATGCAGCAGAAAAAAATGAGTCTAGGGTTCTGGTAATGATGTCTCGCGACGTTGTAAGTGTTTCGCAAAGTCGGATCTCATGGAAAGTTGCGGTGACCACACAGCCCAGTGAGCCAAGAGGCCAAACGCATTGAAGGCATCACTGTATACTCGGCTTGTCGATCTCAAGGGTGCACGAGACACGAGACTGCCCCCGAGGGGGAGGAGGAGGGGGAGGAGGAGGAGGAGGGGGAGGAGGAGGGGGAGGAGGAGGGGGAGGAGGAGGAGGAGGAGGAGAAGGAGGAGGAGGAGGGAGGAGGAGGCTTGGGGTGCCTTCCAGGATGGGCCTGGCCAGGATCGGTGTACGCGCACAGTTCTCATCGCCCGACGCTGCCCGAGCCTCCGACGAGGAGAAGCCGACGCCGCAGACGAAGCCAGCTCCCTGCACGTCGCCGGTCACGAGCACGAGGGTCCCACCGCTCAACTGCCTGCGGTGGTATGCCACCTCGCGGAGGAAGCCGCTCTCTAGCCGCCTCTGCAGGGTGTCGGCAGCGTCCTGGCGGCTCTCGCCTGCGGGCAGAAAGGGTTAGGTCGGGCATGTCCTCCTACAGGCGGACTTTGGAAGGAGAATCGATAATAGTCAGGAAATGCTTAAACATATCAAAAAAAATGTAAAACAAATCGTCCCCTGACCATTTTTTACTATCGCTGAATATTCCTCCTGTAGGGGGACAGGCCCGACTTAAAGAGAGGGGCGCAGTCAGGCAAGCAAAAGGCCCTTTGCGCGGGCGAGAATCGGACAGCGTCGCGCAGCCTCCGCCGGGACAACTTTCTTCGTCTGAGAAGCATGGTCATGGGCGGGAACAGGAGCATTCACGGACAGGATAGATCAGAGTGAGGGGGCCGAACGATCAATCACTGTCCCTTGGCGCATGGCTGACGAGGGGTTCCGCGGTGCGAATTGCTGTTGTTGCGCTGTTGCTGCTGTCGTCGTCCTCGCCAGCGACCCGCCCGCGACCCACCCGTGACCGACCCCGAGACCCAACTCGCGACCCACCCCTGACCCACCCGCGACCCACCCTGCGCCCGCCCCCACCCTGCACTCACAACTGAAGGGCGCTACGTATCCAAACATGTGTATATATCTATACATGTGTATCCAGATCGTCCCCCTCCCTCTTTGCACGCCGGCCAATTCGCTAGTTAGTGCCCCTACCTAGCTGCTCGCTGGAGCGGATTTCGCCGCCTCGCCGCTGACGAAAAAGCGTGTGTCCAAATCCACTTCCGCATCCGCGACCTCGCGGTCCAGTCTCTCCGGGTCACGACCCTGTGGATGCAGGGCGCCTCTGCGCAGGTTCCCCACGACAGAACGCACCCATCCCGTGGGATCGCGACTCCATGGGATCGCGCCTCGTTGGTCAAACCGCGAGTGCGTGGCCATGGATATGCCCGATGGAATGAGCTCCACATCTGTCCCCGGGCACCTCCAGGGGTCCATGTGGGCCAATCGTGCCATCACGGACAAATGTGTGACGGACTTGGGCCCCGTAAACGGCCTCCAGATCCGAAAACTGCGATACGGGTCAAACGTGCGCTTGCCTTCTGGAGGAGGAAGAAGAACAGCACAAACAACAACTGCCCGATCTCCACGAGGATCTCTTGGATCGGCAGTGGACTCCCCTCCCTGACGCGTGGGACCCAGCGCCGATTCCAGAAATTCGCGCGGGGCTCCCAAACTGTGTCAAGTTCACGCAGTGTGTTTTTCTTCACCGCTCCCGCAATCTGTTCGTCATCACGGGCGGCGTGTCTGACGAAGCAGAGCAACAGGGACACCGGCGGCGGCAGCAGAAGCACGCGGCGGCAGCAGACGCAGCGGCAGCCGCAGAGTCAGCGTTCTACAGGTCGGGCGTTGGCAGGACTCGGTTCAGTGGGACCCGGTTCCATGAAGACCGGGGGGGGCCCCCCCCGCCCCGTGCCACTGACCGGACCTGCCGTCATCCGAAACACGCCAGCTGCGGCAGACATGGTGTAGGGATTTCTTGGCAGTCCCCAAACGTGGTGGTGACAACACCTGGCGGTGAGCCTCGGGCGATTTGGTGTCACCACCCGGTTTGGGGACTCGTGCGGTTTTCCGAGGATGTCCCGGACACTGGTGGGTCCAGGAGTCACAAAACCTGGTGGTGGCCCCGCGTCCCCAAACCCAGCGGTGACCTTTTTGGGGATTCCAGGTCGCCACCTGGTATCTCACCACCCGGTTTGGGGGTTCCCAAATTTCAGTCTATGTTTGGAACTCCGGGGCCCAATCACCAACCCCTTGAACGGAGTCATGGCTGTACTAGGGATTGCATACAAAGGATTGCAAACCAAGGATGGCAAAAAGGGTGTTTTTTGTTTGTTCTTATGCTGTTTTTTTTTGGGGGGGGGGGGGTTGCAATCCTTCTCTTTTTTTTGCAGTCCGGCTGCCACTTGAGGGGCATCTTCGACAAGAACTTGGCGCCGCTAGTAGAGGGCGCGCTGCTGGACTACGCGCGGAAGGTGGCCAAGGAGGGGGCTAGGACGAGGTTCAGAGGAGCACCGGCGCGCCTCAAGGCGCTGCCCCACCCCAGCGCGAAGGATCACCTTGACGAAGTGATGCGCGCCCTCTGGAAGGACGCGGCGAACAATCACTGGAAGAGGACCACTCGAGACAACGGCGGCCCTCCCCGACGTGCCTCGCCCTCTCTGGGCCTCCTGGGGGCCTCTCGCCGCCCCGACCAGACCCGCCCCAGGAAATCGGCGCGAGGGAGGAGGGAGGAGGGAGCAGGGAGGAGGGAGCAGGGAGGAGGGAGGAGGGAGGGGGGAGGAGGGAGGAGGGAGGAGGGAGGAGGGAGGAGGAGGAGGAGGAGGAGGAGGAGGAGGAGGAGGAGGAGGAGGAGGAGGAGGAGGAGGAGGAGGGGGCCTGTTGGCGGCGCGGACATGGGGGCAGGGGGGGGAGGCTTCTCAGGAGGCTGTTTTTTAGAGGGCGCCGGCCGTGCATTTGTGGACGAGGCCCGCGCCTTCGAAGAAGCAGGGGTGCTGCGCAGAAGCCTGCCACCCTGCCCCCCTGCCCCGTGCGCGTGCGCGGCCGAGCCAGGAGGGGCCCCGGGAGGGGTCTGGGGACCGCTTTTGACAGGATCGCGGCCAAGAGAGCCGCCAATGTCTGAGGCATCTCGGCTGGCCCTCCGCAAGTCCCTCGCGCCGGAGGGGAGGCGCTGGAGGCGCGCGGCCATGGGCGTCCTGCGCTGGTCCAGGCAATCCGCGTGGACCTCCGAAAAAGTGTGCCGTTTGGCTTTGGGCTCGAGCAGGTCCGCTTGCAAGGCACTTCGCACCACGTCTCCCCCCGTTCGACTTTTCAAACGGCGCTGGGCCAAACAGGGCGCGCAAGCAAGTCCCGACTTACATGAAGCCCAGATTTCCTTCCGGGCCTCGCCACGACCACTCCCGCCCACTCCATGCAAAACGACTGTTGCCACAGCCCAAAGAATGACAGTCTCGCGTGTTCATGCCGCTGCCTTGCTCTACACGGAACTCTTCCCCGTCTGAGCGCTTTTACCGTCCGCCACCCCCTTCGGCCGCCCTCGTCTTTCCCCTCCCTCTTGCACGCCAAACAGTCAGCCTCTCGGCTGCCCCGAACAGCCACACGCTGGAGCGGACTGCCTCTGCCTCGCCGCCGACGGAGAAAAAAAAATGCTCATGCCGCTGCCTCTTTCCCGAGCCCGGGGAGGAGGAGGAGGAGGAGGAGGAGGAGGAGGAGGAGGAGGAGGAGGAGGAGGAGGAGGAGGAGGAGGAGGAGGGGAGGAGGAGGGGGAGGAGGGAGGGGGAGGAGGAGGAGGGGGAGGGGGGAGGAGGGGGAGGGGAGGAGGGAGGAGGAGGAGGAGGAGAGGAGGAGGAGGAGGAAGAGGAGGAGGAGGAGGAGGAGGAGGGGAGGAGGAAGAGAAAAGGAGGAGGAGGAGGAGGAGGAGGGAGGTACGCTCCCTGATCGCCCGTGAGCGGCTTGCATCGCCGCGAAGTCGTCCGGCCACGGCGGCTGGGCGGCGTCCAGATACCGCCCGAGGATCTCGTCCCCCCGCGGGCCCGCCTGCCCCCTGTGGAGGAGGAGGAGGAGGGGGAGGAGGAGGAGGAGGGGAGGAGGAGGAGGAGGGGGAGGAGGAGAGGAGGAGGAGGAGGAGGAGGAGGAGGAGGAGGAGGAGGAGGAGAAGGAGGAGGAGGAGGAGGAGGAGGAGTAGGAGGAGGGGAGGAGGAGGAGGAGGAGGAGGAGGGAGGAGGAGGAGTAGGAGGAGGAGGAGGAGGGGGAGGAGGAAGAGGAGGAGGAGGAGGAGGAGGAGGAGGAGGAGCAATAGCAATAGCAATAACCCTGGGGCGCCTCACGATCCGTCGAACTCGAAAGCCGAGGGCGCCTAGGTGCTGGCGTCTGCCAGGCCTTGCAACACGCCCGCGTGCGGGCCAGCGCCGCGAGTGCGGGCTGGCACAGTCCGACGGCGTGCCCTTCGGCGCGCAGCCTGCGGCTGCCGCCTTTGGCACCACCCTCAGGGAGGAAACGACTTGCCTGAGAGAGGGCACCCAACCGACCCGAGAAGGAGCCAAGGCCCCTCGAGGAGCAGAACAAGAGCCAAGGGGCCCCACACGGCATCCCCTAGCTCAGGCCCTGCCTCTCGAAGCGCCCCTACCCCTTCCCTTCCCCGCTCCCCCACCACGGCGGCTAGAGGGGCACGGAAGCGCAACAGCAGGCCCCACATCTGGGGCATTCTGAAAAGTGACTGGGGTGGGAGTCGAAGAAGAAGGAGGCTCAAGACCAGGAGGAGGAGGAATGAAGTTGGGAGAAATCACCACAGATTCAGCGACCGACTGACCGAGCACAAGCCTTGCAGCGGCCTCACTCAAATGACCAGCTCGAAGGTGTGCCATCACACGCTCACTGCCAGCCCAACTGAATGCATTAGATCCTTGCCCAGGTACTGTGTGAGAGGCAGGCGCCACTACTTGACGCTGTCCAAGAGCCTCTGCGCTTCGCGTACGAGTACTCCTCTCGGCGCGCCTCCAATTGTTTTGTGACCCCCCTGGGCGGCCGGCGCGGTCCTGATGGCCGTGGTGGTCGGCTTCGCCAGGTCGTGCTCGTGGGAGATGAGGAACTGCACCTTCACTAGCTCCTCGCCGTCCATGTTATTGCCTTTCAGGCGCTTCGCCCTGCAGAACCTGATCAGATCCGACATCTCCTCGGCCTCCTTGAGCTTCGAAATCGCCCCCTCGAAGTACTTCAGTGCGGGAACTCGAGCTGCGGCCAACTCCATGTCCTCCGCTTCCTTCTCCGCCGCGCCCTGGATCATCGTAGCGAACACACGCAAGAAGGGGGCCGCCATCTTCGGTTTGACGTAGTCTTTGTTGCCATTATTGTGTTCATGCTTCTCCTTCTCGCGCGCTTCCTGGGCCTCGGCGTTGAAGGCCTGGTTCTCCTCGAGCATCAGTTCTACCATGTGCGAGGTGAGCGGCACCAGCCAGGTGTCGTAGACGGCGCCGATGAGCAGCATGAGCTCCGCCTCGTCGCTGAGCACCAGCTTGGCCAGCACCACCACCAACTCGTCGATCGTCTGCTTCTTGGCGGCCGCTCCTTGCGGCCTGGCGCCACCAGCGCTTGGGCCCTTGCCTGCTGCCTTGGCCGCCTTCAGGCTGGGCTCCGCATCGCCTATCTTGGCCATCCAGCCTGGGCGCGCCAGCGTCGCCATCCTCGTCTATGTAGCAGTGACGGCATCGGTCGTAGATACGAAGAGCTCGAGGAAAATAGATACGGACATGCATCTGGTAATTCTCCAGATCTGAGGCGCGATAATCACACAATAAACATCTTAGATCACCCACTTCATGTAATGGTTCCTGTGTTCGGCCTCCCCCAGAATAACAGCATCCCCTATTCAGAGCACCTACCAGATGTCGACTAGCAGTAGTAAGACTGGAAAACATCTCCACGCAGTTCGGGCACTGGTTGGTTTTACAGAGTACATGCCCCAAGGAGCGATAGTTATGATGAAAACGGAGATGGTTCAGGGCAGCCTTTTTATCAGGAAAAACTTCTCCACAAGGAACCTCTTCCCCAGATATCCCATTTACGACACAGAAACCACATGCCCACTTAAGCCCGCCCTCCTGATCCGTGACAACCCCTTCCACAGCAACCGAAGGAACAGATACAAACTCAGGCGGGGGAATCGCGACGGTGTGTTGACGACGACGCAGGACAGTACAATCAAGCTTGCAGAAAGCTTCTCCGAGCTCCTTATCCCACCACAGCGCCAGGAACGATCCCTGAAGACGCGCGAGCAAGTCTTCGCCGTCCTCCACCTCAGAGATAGACTCAACGTCTGAGTAAAAAAGCCTCGCCCAAGGATTCGCATAAGCCGTGAGCCGCCCCATGTAGTCGAACTGCTTGCGTTCGTAAACTGGAAGCTCGGCAAAAAGAGCAGTGAGAATCTGCGCGTGTCGCTGAGGATACCGAATGAACTGCACCAGCCAATTTAAACGTCTGACCCGCAACTCCAAGAAGGAAGGAACTAGCCGCCAATGTCTAAGCACATCTTCGTTTGTCATAGTTCTGAGATGGTCAGGTCCTTCTCGGCTAGCTCCTCCCTGCATGGCTACCCTACAGTACTTGATGAAAGTCGAATCAATACGCTTACACTGACCCTCGGTCACCAGGAAGGCCTCCAAGTTCTGAATGCCAGCATTCTGGATCCCCAAGAGCACCGATCTTCGAAGTCGAAACGCAACTCCAGGAGTCGACCAAAACTTCCCAAGAGCATGAAAAGAAGTCTGCAGAGCCCCCAAACGCTTCGAGACTTCCACAGAAATAGATCCCAGACAATGAATTTGACCTCCTAGCACCCTCATAGACGGAGTAGCCCCACCGGCGAACAATGTTTGATTATGCAAGCGAAGAGAACGATTGGCAGCGGCAGAGCCCAAGCCCACGAGAGAGACGATGTTGGTTTGCTTAGATAGGTTTTGCCTCCACCCTCCCCGAGCAAGGGCCCCGTCCAGCGACATGTTAGAGTGATCGTTAGCAGCACATAGTTCAGAAAGACCCGCATCTATCAAGGAAGCCTCTGGACCTCCAGCCACATGTAGTTTGGTAAGGTCGTCCGCGCACTTGGTTAAGCCTAAGTTGACCTCGCCAATGCCGCCAATCGGGCACTCTACATACAGTAGCTCCTTAGTTTCAAAGGCCTCTCTCAATTCCACACTCCACGAATCAACTGGAACCTCGTAAGCTCTGCCAAAAGACTCCACTGCATAAGGATCGCCCATGAGCGCTCCACACTTGGGTTGCACAAGAAGAGACCTATCACGCGTCGGAAGCCGAATGGTAGCCTTGCGAAAACGGTCAAGTCCGAAATGTCTATCATCTTGCTCAAGCAGCAAGTCGTTGGCCTGCTCCAACAGTGCCCACGAGGTAAACGGGAAAGCATTGTTGAGGTCCTTGTTGGACCAGGAAGAACTAAAACCTGCGAGGCGGAGTCGATGTTGCATAATCTGAATCACCAGCAGTGCACCCTCCTTCCTCCTCCCCCTGCTGAAACCATAATCACACGGGCCCAGGGGAGGAGGTCGGTTTCGTCGCATAGCCCCAGCCAACCACGCCTTTCCAAGTGGGTCAAATAGATGTATAACACGTTTCCCTTTGGGGCCTGGTGTTGAGGACTTCGGGAGGGCGCAACCGAAACTTTGATTCCAGAGACGGGGGAACCTGCCAGCAAACCTGACACAGACCAATCCGTTCTCGAGCGACTCCTGAAGAAGCTCCGTCTAGAAATCGTGGCTGGCGCCTACACCAAGCTTCGCACTGCGTAGCCCAAAAAAAGGGTCAGCTATCATACCCCAAACTTCAGCCGGCACAGACCAGGGAGGGCAGGCTCGCCTCTTAGGTGCATGTCGTAGGTATTTAGCAATAGACATCATATCCACCTTGGCCTCCACCGAAAATACTCCACTAGAACCTGTCGCCCTCGTCTCCTGCACGTGCTCCTCCGTCACCTCCTCCACCCCCATACCTCCCAGAGGACCTCGGAGCCGCCATACAGACAGCCATTCATCAGCACTAAGAGCAGCACCCTGAAGATGCCGAAGATTCCTGCCTCTAGGAGCCTTGCCGCGACAGGCGAGCAGCCTAATCAGCCGATGTGCCTCTTTCAAATTGCGGGTTCTCCAAGCTTCATCCAACTCATCTGTGATCTCCTTCCTCCACCTCCGATTCTGCCTCCTCCGTAGTTGGGAACATTATTTACTAAGTCTGCATAGCTCATCCTTGATCGCCTCCTCCTCCTCCTCCGTGTTGGTTGCCGAGATAGCCTGGCGCAGAAGAAGGCGTCGCTGCAGCAGAGCACGTCGCTCGGCAGCTTGCTCACAGTAGCCAGGCAATCCTTCCGTAAGACTACCTCCGAAAATACTGCCAGCGTGCTCCTGCAAGATGCCGTTAAAAATCTCAAAGTATTTATCTGGCATGCCCTCCTTCATCGCCTTTTCAAGGTCCGCCTGCCGCTCCCTCAGGGCCGCAGACGACTGAGAGAAGAAGAGCTCCCTCCCCTCCGAGAACTTCATGGCCTCAAAGTTCCAGAAAATCCTGTCCGACGATTTCTCTTCTGGCGGAACCAAGTCCCACCTGAAGTTGCAGTGCAGCGGAACATGATCCCTGGGATATCTGGAAGGGATGAATTGGTGCTTCTTCATGAGTCCCCTTAGTGGCCCTCCCGAGACAACTAGATCTATAGCTGCTGCAGTGCCTATGATGTAGTCGACCCTGCTACTTTGATTCTCATTTCCGTACCAGGTGGGTTCAACCTTATTACGAAGCCCCAGAAGTACAAGACCGTATTCCTCCATAAGGCCCCGAACTTGTTCCCCAGCACCTCCAGGAAGATGTTCACAGGAAGCCAAATCTTCAGACACCGTAGGAATATTAGCGTAGACACAGTTCCCCTCACGGAAGACCATCCCAATGCCGTCGTTCAAGTCGATACTTATGATCGGAAAAACTCTGGAGTGTTGGGCGAGCTCTGCACAGATAGAACGAAGCCACTCAACTAACTTACTTACCGTGTGCAAGTAGTTCGGCCTACCCTGAAGTCCCCGAGGTCGTGGAGGGAAGTAGCAGCCCACGACCGCGACGTCCAAGCCAGACCTCTTCACGCGAACACCCAGCCCACGAGCAGCAAGACTAGCAGAAGGCAACCAATGTCGGACAATGTGTCGCTCCCGAAGTCCACAGGTCAATGTGATGGAGACTCCAGTACTTTTGTTAGTGTAGGCACCTCTCCCGTAGCCCGCCTCCAGCAAGAGAACTCCCTGCACCATCCTCTTCTCCAGCGGCGAATCAGGACGAGCACGCACTTGGGTCCCCACGAAGCAGCTCAGGTGGAACGACTTGGCACTGGTCGAGATCACCTCTTCCTGTCGCTCACGAGAGTTCAATCTCAGAGGATTCCAATGCAAGAAACGTAACTTCATCGGGTGGCCACGCAAGGCAGTGTTACCTTGTTGGCCGATAGACAACAATTTTCTGTAAGCGAGGTGTGTGTGTCTTCATTAAGATATGAAAGGGCGGGGTCCTTGCAGGAAACTCGTGCCGCCTGGAGGAGGAGGAGGAGGAGGAGGAGGAGGAGGAGAAGGGGGTGACAAGCTAGGTGCGCTCGCGTCTGCCCCCTGTGGACGGGCAGGAGCCAGGCAGACGACCACTCAGGCCCTCGAGGCGCAATCACCAGGCAGAGGAGCAGCACAAGCGACGAGAGCTCCCCCCCTTCGGTGGCAACTCATGGCAACCTCTTGTAAGATCTTGTCGGCTCTTGCTAGTCGAGGCTAAAGCGACGCGAATCGGCGCTAAATCCACGCTAAATCGACGCGAACTCGGCGAGACCTCTCATCGACCCCAGACGCTGATCGACGCTGGTCGACGCGAAAGGCCGGAATTCAGAGGTCATACACGGCCCCCATGATGTACTGGCGAACCCCCCCGAACAGATCAGATGGCTGATCTTGCACCCCTCAGGAGAGCCCAGAATCGAACCGACAAGCCGGATCGGCGATCGAAAGGCGTCGGATCGGCGGAAAAATCGGCAGCCGAGCCGGGAGAGAAGCCGGCTCGGCAGAGCCCGGCAGGCCGGTGGGCCTCCGTGGAGGCCTCGGGATCCACGTCGGAGTCCGAAGTCGAATCTGGGGAAGTCCCTCCCTCCCTCCCTCCCTCCCTCTCCCACTCCCTCTTCCCCCTCCCCTCCCTCCCCTCCCCTCCCCTCCCCTCCCCTCCCTCCCCTCCCTCCCTCCCTCCCTCCCTCTCCCCCCCTCCCCTCTTCTCCTCCCCTCCCCTCCCCATCCCCTCCCCTCCCCTCCCTCCCTCCCTCCCCAGCAGGCTGCCGCCCGGCCCGCACGGCGGCGCCCCGGCCTGGGGACACCAAGAGGTACCGACACCTCCCCGGGCCTCTCCCGGGGGTGCGTTCTGACCAGGAGTTCGAGGCGACTGCCGCGGTGGCGACGAGGGCCTCCCCTGGCGGCCCAGAAAAAGGGGAACGCGAGGGGAGGGGAGAGGCATGGGTATACTTTCTCCTCCTCCGAGAGAGTCGGAGGCATCGAGGGGAGCCCTGCCCCCCGGGCGGCCCCCGGACGGCCCAGCGCGGCGGCGGCCGAAAGGCCCCCCGGTGGGGGATGCCTGCCCTGCCGCTCCTCTGCTCCCTGGCCTGCCTGCCCGGCCCCCAGCCCCCCTCCGGAGGGGCGGGCGTAGAGATTTAAAGTCCACCCCCATAGCAAGCACCCCGACAAGCGAAGCCGTTTGGTAAACGCACCCATGGAAGGAATCGAGCAGGGCAGGGCTGTTCCGTAAACGCCCGGGGCTGCTTGGTAAACGCGAACTGTCGGGGTCGGGGTGGCTTTTCCACCCTTGAAGGTGGGCCGCGGTCCTCGCTGCGCATGCTCTGGAGCGCATCCTGGAGCGCGCCTGGGGGGAGCCAAAAGAATTGAGCGCCTGACATCTGAGCAGAGGCCGACCGTCCCGGCATTCCCAGAGGCCTACCACGACATGTTGTCAGAGCCCCAACCATGTTCTAAGAACAACAGCAATGTTCTTAGAACATAAGCCCAGCGTGTCAAAACAAGACGGTCCCAGCCAGAAATGTTCTAAGAACATTCCATGGAGACCACAAAAGATTAGTATAACATTATTTGGTAGGCCTATAGGCGAGCTAGGACGCTTCGCCACTGTTTGAGATGTAAAAGAATGGGTGCAACGCGGAACAGCAGATGCTGTCCAAAACCGACAGCGGCCGCTGTGGGCCAGGCGGCCTCGTCCGCGGCGACGCCGTCAGCGAGTCCTGTTCGAAATGGGCAGGGACTGCTGCTAGTCTTCGTCTCTTCGTCCCCCTTGCTTTCCGTACCAATCGCGCTCGCTCCGCAAGATACTGATACCGCTGCTCCCCGGACCTCCCCCAGGGCGCGTCCCTGACAAGGCTTAGGTGTCCTCCTACAGGCGGATTTTGGAAAAAAAACTAACAAAAGAGTCAACAATATTCAAAAACAATAAGACATTGTCGAAAATCGTCCCCAGACTATTGTATTACTATTTTTTGGAATACTCCTCCTGTCGGCGGGACGTGCCCGACTTCAGACCAGGCTCTCGGGGCGAATGGCGGCCGAGGCGCCAGGGGGGCACCCCCGAGGGAGGCGCCAGAACCCAAACACCCCACACGGCACGAATGGGCTCCAGAGCGTGGACCCCCAGAGGTCGCCTCGAACCCTTCGCCCCCGAGAGGCGCTCCGTCCCCGAGCTCGACCCCCCCACCGAGGCCGGGCAAGGGCTCCCTCGGGCCGAGCACGTTGTCCCGCCTCCGGAGCGGAAAGGGCCCCAGAAAGGGGCCCTGCGGGGCTCCTCTGTAGGAGCCTGCTGGTGCCCCAAAGGGGCCCTCTGGGGCCTCTCTGGGGCCTTTTCCTTCGCCCCCCACATGGGTCACCCCGCATTACCACCCGCCCGAGTCTCCAGTCTCTTGGACCCCACCCTGAGGCCCGGTGAGGGCCCCCAGAGGCCGAGAACAGCGTTCGGCCTCTGAGACCAGTTGTTCGGAAAACTGCCACGGAACTGGGGAAATCGAAAGGCACCGATACCGCTGCTCCCCGGTCCTCTCCCGGGGCGCGTGCTGAACAGCATTCCGAGGAGGCTGCAGCGGTGGCGACAAGGGCATCCCAGGAGGGCGAAAAAGGGGGAAGCGGGCGAAGGCTAGCGATGTAGCTACCTTTTCCTCCTCCGAGGCATGGCTGGACCTGAACGGTGGTTTGCCCGTCTCGTGGGCCGTTTTGTTTTTGTTCGTGCTGTCTTGCAATCAAAACGAAGCGAAGGCAGCACGGAGAAGAAAGAAAAACAAAACGGAAACGACAAACACCGTTTGTGACTACCTACCAAGCCACCCCAACCCAACCCGAAGACCCGAATTTCGGGTTGGGGGGGGTGCGGGCTTCGTATGTATGTTTTCCAGGCTCCCCGACCCCCCCAACTGGAAATGGAGGGCAAATCGGGGCCTTCGGGTTGGGGTGGGGTGGTTTGGTGGGCGGTGAGTTTGAAGTGCGGCCCTGCTCCGGGGAGCTCCACTAGGGCTCCCAACTTCGCGCTTCGCGCTCCGCGAAGCGCGAAGCGCGAATAACTTCGCGCTCTCGCGCCGCCCTCCCAAAGGGAGAAGAGGAGGACGAGGAGGAGGGGGAGGAGGAAGGAGGACCGCGAAGCGCGAAGCGCGAATAACTTCGCGCCCTCGGGGGAGCCCTTGGTGATGCTGTCCGCGTCGAGGGTGCCTCTGGGAGAGGCGGAGCTCGCCCCCCAAAGGGCCTCACGAGGGAGGCGCGGGCCCCGGAGCCCAAGGGCCTCGCCCGGGGGCAGTCGGCCCGTATAGCAGGGAGGCACAGGTGAGGCTGCGGGGGCCTGGGGCGCCCACTTCGAAGCTCTTCGAGCGGGGCCTCCTCCTCCTCCTCCTCCTCCTCCTCTTCCTCCTCCTCCTCCTCCTTCCCCTTCGGGGACGGTTTTACCTCTCTCCCTACCACGGCCAACGAACGTGGCCAAGGATGGACCGAGGAGGCAAGGATGCAAGGGCTAATTACCATTGGGACGGTTGCCCATCCTTACTATGCGAGTTGACCGTAGGGGCCTCCCGAATGAGGCCCGAGCACATCGCGAGGAGCATCGCAACGCATCGCCAGTGCATCGCACATGCATCGGCGATGCGTCGACGACGTCGGCGACGCATCGGCGCTGTTGGCGTGGAGAACATCTGATTAGCAAGAAAGGGACCCCCAACCCTTTGGGAGGCGAACAGCAAGTGCCAACGACCCGACGCGTTTCAGAGTCCCCAAGAGGCCACCAAGAGGCCTCCCGAAAGAGTCCCCATAAGCAAAACGCGTCCAGACGGCCCGCGACACGTTCAAGACTCCCCCAGCGGCAACCAAGAAGTCTTACATGCCGAACGCAAACCCTGATAAAGCAACAGCCGCCGCCCCTTCAGCTCCGCACCGCGAAAGACAACTCGGTCAGTCGACAACGGCGCGCAATATGGGCCGGCGGAGTGAGCGAAGCGATTCAAGAAAGGGACCCCCAACCCTTTGGGAGGCGACCCAAGTCAAGAGGCCAAAAACATTGAGGGAAAAGGGGGTCTAGTTCTGCGGCCTGCGGACGTATCAAGCCGCAACGCCTGCCCCACTGAGGCTGGAAACGTATACCCCTACGGTGGCACGTCGGAGTGTCCATTTTCCAGCCGCCCTGGGACGGGCCCACACATCCGAAGTCCGTTTTCACGCGGCGGCTCCGAGGTCTGGACCCCTTCCCAGGGGCCCCAAGTCTGTTTTTGACACCCCTGGGGCTAGGTGAGGGTTCCCTTGAAGTCGGGAACGGCCAAAAAACGTCCTGGGGTGGGGTCCCGAAGGAGGGGTAGGGCGTGGCTTAATGGGGGGGGGTCATACATGGGGAGGTCAGAAACGGTCCCCTTTCGTGCCCCTTTCGGGCCCCTCTGGAGCCCCAGGGGGCTCGTTCAGGCACCGTTTGGGTACCTTTCCGGACCACCCTCAACACCCCCCCTTATTCCCCCCCCATTACGCAACTCCCAAGGGGGTGTCCCTGGGGGGGTGGTCCAAGGTCAGAATACCACCCTGCCGGGGCCAGAATTAGGACGTCGACGTGGTGCTGCTATTCTTGTTGCCCTCCTGGAAGGTCAGGGTCTTACAGTTCGGGCGCGGCCGCGAGAAACCATCGCAAGAAACCCAATATTGAAAACCCGCGCGCGAGGTGCACCAAAGGGGAAACCCGGAGCACCGTGAACGCAGCAGTTTCTGCAACGGCTGCGGGAAGTCACCGCGCAGGGGGCGGAGCGAAGAAACCCAGGGTACCCTGACGCAAAGCACATGTTTTCTTGCTGCGCGCCCCCACTGCACCCCCCACACACACTACGCAACGCCCAAAGGGGGTCCCAGGGATTGGTCCCTCGGGAGCGGCCAAGAGGGGGGTGTCCAAGAGGGGGGGGGTGCAAATCATGACCGGCAGCATGTGCGCGGCCCAGCGGGGGGGCCAGGGACGTAATGAAGCAAGAAGAGGCGCCGTGAGATCTCGGGAAATGTCATGGTCCCCGCCATGATATCCACCCCCCCCCCTACTAGTCATCACCCCCCCTTTCCCGCCCCCGAACTGCACCCCCCCCCACACTGCGCAACGCCCAAAAGGGGTCACCCGGGGTGGTCCCTCGGGCCAGACTCCCACCCCTCCCGGGGCCCGTGGCCCGCCCCCTCCCTCCCGGCTCCCGTCGAGGGCCCAGGCCTCCCGGGTCGGCGGCACCAGCCGTGAGGCCTCAGCGGGGCGAGAACCCGAGAATGTGTTCGTAGGGCGGAGGGCTCGGGGTGGCATCCATCTGGGCGCTGGCACCTCGAAGGACAATTCGTTCTCTTCGTGAGTCCACTCTTGCGGATTCAGGCCTCGAACATCCATCGGGGCGGCATGTCAGATTTCACCCGTTGCCCTCCACCCAGAGAAAATGCTCGGAGAACGGCCAAGACCCATCCGTCGGGTGTTCTGCCCCACGGCGCGAAGGCGTCACCCGTCGGGCCACAGCTCGGCCTCTGGCGGCCGAGTCGGGACGGGGCGAGCATCCCCCAGAACGCTCGCGGAGGGGCGCAGGCTGTCGGGAAGCATCCCGAGGCGGAAAAGCGCCCGAGAGCGTACAAAACATCTGATGGCGGACGGCGGACAGCCCTACCAGGCCGTCAGCAGAAATGTCCGAGGACTTCCCGAATCGTCCGAGGAGATGTTCCAGAGGTCACGAGGAAGGAAGAACGAACGAAAACGTCAAGGATCAAACGAAAACGTTTTAGGACTCACGAAAGAGACAGCAAAAAAAATAAAAACACAAAAAACGACTGCTAACAAAAAACGGACACAACAACAAGACGACAACAAACAAAACACGACAACACAAAAACTGATACATTGCAAAACGATATCAAACAGACGATAACGACTACGATACCAAAAACAACCAAAAAACGAACACGACAACGACAACGACACCAACAAAAACAATAACAGAAACAACAACAAGAACAACAACAATAACAATCATTTTGCCCGAACGCTCAGTGTTCTCCCCAGTGCCAGGGTTTTCATACGACACCAGGCAATACCCCCACTTCGTGGGGGGGCATTACAAGCTCTACCAAATATCCAAACGACTCTTCGCGACCACCCAAACCCAGCTTCCCGCCCTATGACGTTGGGACACTTCACTTCGTGGCGTGCGGACGACCGTGGCTACTACACTGGCGTGGGGTACACACCCACAGAACCCAATGGTTTTTGGAGATTTCGGCGTGCGCGCGCGAAGAAAAAACGAATGTGTCCCGCATGGTATTATTTGACAGGGATGATGGCCCTGGCAGGTGCGCAACCGTTGTCGCAGAAGTTCGAAAAAGTTGCTCGCA